ATGAACAATATAAGTAATTGTTGAAATATTTTGAATGTTTATTAAAAAAGTTTACAATTTTATTATACATGTTTGAAAGAAAAAATAAAAAATGGAAAAACTTGAATATTGAGCATATATTAAAACCTGTGTTTTACTTGGAGCTTCAGCAAAAGCCATAAACAATGAATTAGTTTTAGTTCATGGTGACCAAGTTCCAAAATATAGTACAGTTGCCAAGTGGGCTACTTTATTTACAGATAATAGAAAGAGAATCAGGAAGATGATCCTTGCTCAGGGCATCCTCAAACGATGTATACAGTTGAGAATATTAAATGTGTGCGAGCCATTATTGAAGAAAATCTGCATGCAACACATGATATAATTGAAGCCCTGACATGGATTAATCATTTTACAATCAACAAAATAATTAACAACGCACTTAAAAAATGAAAACTAACATCACGTTGGTTACCCCACGAGTTAACCAATCAAAATCCAAAGAATAGAATTGAGGCATGTAAGGAAAATTTAGCCCTTTTCAGAAACGGCGCATGGAGCCTATGTGATATTGTTACAGGGGATGAGTCATGGTTTTATTTGAGTTAAGTTGGACACAAGTCAGCTAATGCTAAATGGATTGGTGAAAATGAAAGTCCAAAAACTATAGTAAGATACGATTGGTTTCAGCCGAAAAGCATGTTCTACATCTTCTTTAAAACAACTGGTGTCGTTCATTTGGGTTATGTCATATAAAAAATTGTTTGAAACCTCTTATATACAAAATAAATAAGCAAAGACCTAAAACAGGCACTCACAATTTCAAATTTCTGCCTGATAACGCTCGATCCCAATGTAACTCAGTCTGCTGGTGAAAGTAGTGTTGCTACATCACCTAAGGGTTTGACTTGTGGCAGAAAACTTTTCTTTCATTATTCTTCATTTTTTTCTTGTTTTTTTGAAAACGCTGTATGCTTTAAAGGTAGAAAAACAGTAACAACTATATAGTACGCTATAGTAAAAGTCTTAAACTTATCATTTATGTATAAAAAGCTGCACTTAACTACTCTATGACATCTAATTTGACAAAAGGTTTGATTATAACAAAAACAAATTAATTAATTGAGGAAACTAATTAAATTTATTGCTTTTTTAAAAAACCATAAAAACACTAATTAAAATACTAGAATGTTTTAAAAGACATTCTAAATTTTTTTTTAAAACATACTAAATGTTTTAAAAAAACAATGTTTTCATTACTTTTTCACTGTAAAACATGTACAGAGTGCCGCTTCATCGACTGAGGGTTTGGTTGGGGAAGGCAGTCTATATATGTATATACATATATATATATGTATATATATATATATATGTATATATATATATATATATATATATATATATATATATATATATATGTATATGTATATACATACATATGTATATATATATATATATATATATATATATATATATATATATATATATATATATATATATAAATATATATATATATATATATATATATATATATATATATATATATATATATATATATATACATATATATATATTTATATACATATATATAATATATATGTACATATATATAATATATATGTACATATATATATATATATATATATATATATATATATATATATATATATATATATATATATATATATATATATATATATATATATTTATATATACATATATATACAGGGCTCGAATTGACGTAAAAAAAATCTAATCTTGATTTTTTTGTTGCTCATAACTCCTTCCCCCTCCTCCTCCATGGGGGGGGGGGGGCAGGGGCATTATTTATTTTAACTTGATTATATTAACATACATAATAAGTCTCATTTTTGCATAAGATGTCATAACATTTACGGTTAGCGGTTGTAAAATAGCTTTAGTTATAGTTTACATTATTCCTATTATCATATTGCATTAAATCTAAAGGCTGTATTTTCGTAAAATCAATGAACTTGATATTCCTAACCTTCTTTTAATTAATTATTTCTTCTATTTTATCTACATATTTTAAACTGTTTAAAACAATTAGAATATTTAATTTTCTATAAATTTTTAACAGTAAAAAAAAATTATTTAAAACTCTAATTTTGAAACAGTTATAAAAAACTATTAAAAATGACGAAAACATTATTGTGATAAAATGTTAAAACTAAACATTTTGACGAAAACCTGCGCAACAATCAAGAATGATAATTAAATTCTTATTAAGTCAGTTTTCTTATCTAAGTAACCTTATCAAATTCCGATGATATTTTTATCTATTGCTTTTTCATTCAATGCATTTTTTAATAAAAGTTAGCGTTCACTTTTTTCATTTAATAAAATAAAGCGAAAGAAAAAAATGTGTCTAAATAATAGAATCTTTTACGATCTAATACTTTTTTTGATTGTTAATAGAAAAAGTATTAGAACGTAATCGTAAATATTTTTATCATTTTGCAATAATTTCACTAGTTTAATGCTTAGAATTTATCAGGATTTTTTACTAACGTAAAAGTATTTTTACTAAGCTAAAAATCATACGCTATTTAAAGTTGTTATTTGATATTTTAATTTTTTTTATTGATATTGTTCCTGGTTTGATCCAGGTCATAGAAAACAATTTTGTTTGACTTATCTGTTTTTCAAATTTTTTACATAAACTGCATCTTAATCTTATAACTTCATCTCCATTTAAATCGTATTTTAACTCGCAATTCAAAAGTTTTTCCCACTTTTTAACTGTAGATAATCTGCGTCTGTGGTCCTTATTTGGCCATTTAGTGCTATTAATTTAAAGTTAGCAAGTATACTAACAAACTTTAGAGAGTTTTTTTTTAATAGCTAGTTTAGAGTCTGTATTGCCTTCCACAATTCTTCGCAAACTAAATTTATAAAAAAAATTAAACTTGTTCATAATGAATGAGCAAAATCAGAGTAAAGCCCTTGAGAATTCGAGTTAAGAAAATTTTCAATCAATTAACTTTTATTTCTTTTTTTAATCAAAATCTTTTATTACTTAATTCGAAAAGGTATTTTTTTACATTTTTACTAATACATTTTTGCTAATTGATTTTCTAAATATTTTATTTTTCTTTCTTTTACTCTATGCTCAGCTTTTAAAAAAATTTATTGTTACAGAAGTCACTGCAGTTTTATACTGTAAAAGAACGCTAAATATTTGCGATTAATACTAATTATCTAAAACTAGAATTTTCTAAAATGATAAAAGAATAATCGCGAAAAAAGAAAGGTCGCGAAAAAACAAATTTTAAGAAAAACCTAATTGCGAAGGTGCGAAAAGTAATCGCGGATCGCGATAGCGATATGCTTAATTCGAGCCCTGATATATATATATATATATATATATATATATATATATATATATATATATATTATTTATATATATATATATATACATATATATATATATACATATATATATATATACATATATATACACAGTGCTCAAAGTGAGGCGGGATGCCATCCTGTCACCTTTTTACAAAGTATAAACCATCCCGCCACTTTTCTAAAAATCCCTATATATAACAATGATTAGTGGGATGGTATTTTTAATTTACCGAATACCATCGTTACTTTTTTGAGAAAAATTATACAAAAGCATAATTTTTTTCATAAAAGCATAATTATTATTTTTAATAAAAAAAAAAAAACACAACGTCATTAAGAAAAAATTAATTGCACAATATACTGAAATGCTTTTTAAAATTCACGTTTGTTGCAAAAAAAAATTAGAATTAAAAAAGAGCACCAATTTAAATGAGGAGCAGCTCGCAGAGCTCCCCAAATTCGTTTTCGGAGAGCTTTTTTCCGCTCTCATACTCATTTATTCCCGCCGAGGCCTCTATATATATATATATATATATATATATACACTCTTGCTTGACTGTTTTTAATTTTTCCATTGTCATGTCAGTTTTGTTGTTCTTTTTTAAAAAAAATTGTTTTAAAGATTGGAAAAAATTTTAAAACATTTTTTTATTTTATTATTTGATAGAAAAGGATGCCTGTACCCAACCAAACCCTCAGTCAATGTAGCAGCACTTTCTTGTAGCAGCAGGCTATAACATAGCCGATGTAGCATCACTCCATGCATGTTTTACAGTGAAAAATAATCAAACCTCAGAATTAGGAAAAAGGAGGTTGGCAATAATTTTCCAATCTCAATCTTTTCGAGATCGGCAAAAATTATTTTATGGTCTGACCATAAAACATAGAAATGAGTTCGGCAATTTTTTTCCAATCTCAAACACTTTCAGGTTGCCAGTCAGGTCACCATTGCTGAATGCAGACCCTAATTCCTTGGGTTAAATAATAATAAAAATTTTACTTTTATTTTTATTTATTTACATTGTTTCATTTTACCTTATATTTTTTCTTTAATTCTATAATTTCAGGAAGTTTAACAATTGATCCCTCCATGCTATAAATTCCTTCAACTATAATAATAATACGTTTCCAAGCACGATGAGTTCGTGGCTGACCTTGAACAACAGCATCTTTCAATACTTTTTCTAGATGCTCCATATCTATATCAACAATTACAAAATTATATGAAAAAGGGATTTAACTATAATAAACATTCATATATGTTTGAAGCAAAAGTTATAAAATAAAAAACATAACAAAGTTAAAATCAAATAAGCCACTAAAAATCAAGAAAATTTTGAAAAAAAAAAAAAAACTAAACATCAAACAAGATTGGAATAAAACAACTGAAAAATAATATTGATTCAAAATTAAAATGTTTTCTTTTGTAATAAAAATAAAACTTTTTGATTTTTATTTTGAACAGTGTTTTGGGCCTCAAATTTTAAAGTTTTGCTTTTTAAGTTTTATTTTCAAAATTTGAGGATCCTGTGAGCCAATAATATTAAATACTATCTATTTGTCAATGGGGCATATTAGGCTCCTTCTATAGATTTATATAAATTATTTGTCTATGAAACTCAAATTATAGACTACCAATGACTTTGGATAAAAATAAAGGTTGAAGTGAATGAAATGTCAATTTTTGCTTACTTTTAAAGCATGATATTTAGACAAGCCATCTGCCTAGCATATATACTTTATCTTCTTTTAGATTTTCTAAATAGCTAATATAAAACAATGAAATAAAACAACCATGAGAAAGTATGGGCTTTATTCTAATTTCAAGTTTGAAAATTTGACACTATTTAGTCAATAATTCTAAAATATTAATCTTTATTTAAAGTCCTATATCTAGAGAACTAATTAATAATTTTTGAAAAATATTTTAGAATTGATCTTCTTGTTTGAATAACAACAACATATTTTAGATAAAAAATTAAAAAAAAAAAAATTTTTAAACAAAAAATAAAGTTAGTCACTAACGAGCTTGATTCTTAATGAAGTGAGTCACTAATGAGTCAATAATTCTTAAAGATGGTGGTTCTTAATCAAAAAATCCATGCCAATTTGTTATTACTTTTGCAATACCTATTTTGTGTTACGTGTTACGCCATTTGGTCAAGCAACTTTTTATCATTTTTTAATATTTAAAAAAGTCTAAAGATATTGTTCAAGTGGTAAGAAATAAGAAGTAATTAACTAACATTATAAAAACTAGTTTAGAAGTTTGAATGATAATTACATAAAAAAGTTTTTGTTTGATATTTGCACTATTTACAAATGTATTAAGATAAGAAAAAACAAAGAAATTTTGTTTTTATTATTCTAACTTTTCCATCAAAAATGTTCAGCAAAAGAAAAAAAATTTTATAAGACGCATTAAAAAAGAAATCATAAAAGAAACATTAAAAAACTTTTTTTTATCATCTTGTCAGAGCAAAAATAATTATTTATTTATTTCTCATCATAACAAACAACAAAAATAACTGCCAAATTTTAAAAAAGAATAAAAAAACAAAACAAATAATTATTAGCTAAAAAATAGTATACGCTAAATTTTAGCGCTACTTTTGGCTAAATGTTAAATTTTAAACATCTTATAAAGAGTTTATCTTTTATAATTGAAAAAAAAAAAAACTTTTTTTATGGTATTACTCCATTAATAATATATATATATATATATATATATATATATATATATATATATATATATATATATATATATATGGGCAATTCCGCAAGAATCAGGAAAAAAACAAAAGCGAAAAAATTATGAAAACATACTAAACTCCAAAACTATTTTTTAAAACTATTTTAAAATACTTTTAAGCAAAAAAGTTATTTAAAAAAATCATTTTATCATGGTTTTAAAGTTGTAAGGGTCGTATAAATGTGCTTTGACACTATTTACAGTCCTGTTGTGTTAAAAATCGTACAGTATATCCATAATTGAAAACTTTGATAATGTTTTATTGCATTTTTTTAACATATTATTCATGGTTGTTAATAATTATTTATACTTTTTTTCTTACATCATTGATTGTGTCGTTATATTTGTTGTTTTTAAGCATTGGATTTTTCATTATGATTGTCACGGTTACGACCCTCATGACAAAAAAAAAAAAAAAAACACAAAAAAGCTTGTAAAACTTCAAGTAAAAACTACAAAACTCAGCATATAATAACATCAATATGTGCTAAACACACACACCAAGGGATTTTTTTTATCATGCCGTTCCATGCATTAAGTATGACAAAGTTGTTTTGTTCAGAAGTGGTAAAAAGTAAGCGTTACGACTGTCACGCTACTTAGAGTTAATTTTTGAAAAAAGTTGAAGACTTTAATGCTATAACTTTTACATACTAAATTATATGATATTATTTCACATTTCTGGAAATTTTCAAGTCATTTCCATTTTTGGTTCATTTTTTTATAACTTAAAGAGTGTCAAATGTTATGACTGCCACTCTTGCGAAGTTGCCCATTTTGCAATTGCAAATTGCTCTTTTGACTACAATTTTGCTACCTCGACTCTTAAGTTGTATTTTATTGTTGTCAAAATGTCAAAGCAATTAAATTAATGCGGAAGTACATTAAATTTTATTGTTTTTTAAAAAAACTGCAATAATAATGACTAGAAAGTTTTTTTTAATTAATGGTATTTTTGTTGTTGTTTTATTAAAATATATTTTTAAAACATGCGCGGAGCGTTGCTACATCAACAATCTTATAGTCTGACTCGCAACAGGCAACAGAGTGCTGTTACATTGACTTACAAGTAGCCTGACTCACAAGGGAGTGCTGCAACATCAATTGACAAATAGCCTGACTCGCAAGGGAGTGCTGCTACATCGACTGAGGGTTTGGTTTGGGTAGGCAGTTTATCATTTAAGAAAAAAAATAAAAAATTAAAGTTTTCACATTTTTTCTGGTCTGGTTTATTAACGCGCTCTTTAAAACTACAGTTTATGGGAAAAACGTTCTGAATACCAAGCAAGACTATATATATATGTATATATATATATGTATATATATATATATATATATATATATATATATATATGTATATATATATATATATATATATATATATATATATATATTTATATACATATATATATATATATATATATATATATATATATATATATATATATATATATATATATATATATATATATATATATATATATATATATATATATATATATATATATATATATATATATATTAGACTATAGATAAGTATAAAAAATTAGGATGACTTACCATTGTGTCTAAAAACAAAGACTTTAGCTCCTGATAAGCGTGTACCCAGAACTAATGAAGCATGATTTAATTCATCACTAATAATACAACACCCAGGACCGATTATTGCTGGTATACAAGTTGAATTAGTAGCAAACCCCATGCCAAAACATATTGCTTCAGGTTTGCCAACAAATCGCGCAACTGTGCTTTCTAGTTCCAACTGTAACTCATGCATTCCTAAAAGTATTTCAAACAAAATTCAACCACATACCCTTTTTCTGTAGCACAGTAATAGTGACATATTAGGGGTAATTTTGAAACTGGTATACCAATTTAGACTTTCAAACTAATCCACCCAAACTTACAGTTGTTATATATAAAAATACTTGTCATATTGATTACTTTCAAAGAATAATTTAATAAAACAATTTGTTCAAAGAAAACTTAAGGTTAAAAACACTTAGTTTTCCTTGAGGAAATTGTTGCTATCTATGTTTTAAACATAAAAAATATTTTAAAATAAAATTAAAAAATTTAGAATTCAATTTGAACTCTTTTTAATATTTATTTTAACCGAAAAACTCAAACACAATTTTTTTTCATGTGATGTGATCATTTAAAAATTCAAATTTTTTCATAAAACATAAACCCTAGTAGCATATAATTCAAGGTTCTATATATTTTTAGAAAATTTCAGCAAACCTTCCTTATTAAAGTTATCAGAAAAAGAAACTACTAGTTATCATTTAAGTAAAATCAACCTCTTTCTAATCTTGTACTTGTAGCAGCAACGCCATACTTTTTAATTGAATTAATAGCAGAATCTGTGCAAGGACCTTCACACTCTCCAAATCCAAGATAGTTATACGAACCCATATTTATTACTCTAATCTTGTTACCAGTTAACCTACAATGATTTGTAAAATGTTGAATAAATTAAAATGTAAATAAAACAAAAGTAACTGGAAGGAAGAAATAGTTCACGGCTGTTTCAAACTGAGCATTACAGCTTCTTGTTTTTTTCCCTCAAATAATCACTCAAGTGGTGTTAATAAAACTTTTAACTTTTGGAATATTAGAGATAATTTTGTTCTGTAAAAAGAATATAAACACCAATACAATGTTTTAACTTATGATATTAAATGAATTTAAAAAAAAACTTTATTCGATTTTAGATAAAATGTGGTAAATAAAGAACTTGGCTAAATTTTGAGAACTATTTGTCACTTTTTATCAAAAAAAAAATTGAAAAAATATATTTCAAATATTTATTATTAAATAATACACATTTTACAACTACTATTAATCAAAGTAACTTTACTTAAATCTAATTGTTAACTGAAATGGGCATTATTAAAGTCAGTAAAGCAAATACTATTATTTTACTAGTAAAGTATTTGAGATCATGTGATTGTTTTAAAATGAAAACAAAAATTTACGCATAAAAATGGATAAATTTTTTCTAAATCAGCCAAGTTTGAAAACTTTTTTGATAACATAGCTGAAAGTACATAAAATAATTTTTTTATTTTCATTTGCATAAAAGCTTAAAATTTCAATAACTTTACGCCATCCATCAAAAAAAGTTACGTTTTACATTTAAAAACAATAAATTAAAAGATATAAATGCTTAAAAAGATATAAACAGTCCTTTTATAAAAAAAAAAATACCAGGATGACGTAGAAATTTGATAGAATGGACATTCATGGCCAAGTGTTCCAAATTTCAACTATCAAGCACAGAGTTATGTTATCAAATCTTAGTTGGCCCAACTCAGGTTTTCCGCAAAATATGCGAAAATCAGAAAAGTGATTCTTAATCATTAAAAGTATTTTCAGATTATTTACTTTTATTACGCCTATGTGAATATTTATTATGTGAATATTTAACAAGGAAAGATGGATCTTTTATATTTTTTTAAATTGAAGATGAAAGTATTCATAGAAGTAAAATAAAAGATGAAAGTATTCATTTTTTTATATTGAGTGAAACAGCCGTGAGTTACACAGTTTATAAAAAATGTTGACAAAAACAAAACAAAAATTTTATATAGATTGAAAATGAATATGTAGATTTAAAAGTTAAAAAACTTTTTTTTGACTTTAAAAAATTTATTTTTTAGTTGCAAACATATCAAATTATTATTTTTAACCATTGTCATTACGTTTAAAAAAACAAAGAAATTTGTATGCCATGTCTTCTATGCATAATTTAACCTTCAAAATTTAAACTTTAACTACAAAAATATTTCATTAATTTTTTCAGCTAAACAATAAATAACCATCATAAAACTAGCTTTTAAAAATATTTCATCCCTGTTACTTCAAATATTTTGTCTTCGTCACTTCAGTTAAACAGAAAATAATGTTTATAAAACAAGTTACTTCAGACTCCATTTCTGGTTATGTTTCTCCATTTAAACTTGCTATGTGACTCCATTTAAACATTATGTTGTTAAAAACAGTCATTACTAATTGTGCAGTTTAACATATTTTTTTTACTTTTTATAAAAAATATTACAAAATATTTTTAAAAATTTGTGACTTTAAGAAAAATATATTTTAGTTCATAATATATTGAAATAAATATTGAAGTCATTCCAGCAGGTGATTTGGGATTAAAATTGTTACTGATGAATGTAATCAAATACAAGAAAAAGTTTTTTTTTTTTAATGTGAAGACTTATTGCTTTTTGAGTTATGGTTTAAATCAGAAATGTTGAATAAAGGAATCACACAGTTGATTAAAATTTATCAAAAACTGTGAACTCTACGAAAACAAATCAATTTTTTATCTACAGAAGAATGCATACAATGAAAGTTATCAAGTAATTTATAAGAGATGATTCTGATAAATTCAAAAAATGTTAAAGCTGAAAAAAAACCCGAAGTTTTATAGAATATACTGAAGGAGAGACCAGATATGGTTGATGCATCTTCAGAATCAGATCAAGATATTCATCAACTTATTTTAAATTAGGCTCATAACAAAGCACGAGTGACATTATGTTTTGAACTCAACCTACCAGGAAAAAAAAATGCAATTGGCTCTATAGCACAGCATTCATTAGCACTAAAGCTAAACACAATTTTTCTGGAATTGCTCTATTGTATAGTCATTTATGCACTCCTATTCCAAATGGTTTCTTGAACTCTATCATGGTGGTAAAAACAATATGTATTTAATTGATAATTAAAATTTGTATAAACGCACATTTTCTTTTAGCTAAACAATTTATTTTTCATTAAATCATTAGAGATTTTTAATTAAAAATTATTGAAAAATTTATTAGTACAACTAAAATTTAGTTGTACTAATAAAACCATGTTTGCTAATAAAAATTAAGTTTTGTTAATTAAGTTGGGATAATTTTTGAATTCTTATAAGGGATATCGTCACTGCGGGAGTTTTAATATTGACATAGAGTACATTGCTGAAAAGCTCAGCTAAATTAATAAAACAACTGATGTTTAATTTTTAGAGTTTACAGTAAAAGTTTTATGAAGCATAACTTATTGCAAAAAAAAAAAAAAAAAAAAAAAACTAATTTATTGACTTATTTTCATTATTATCTTCAAATTTATCTAAAAAGTGTTTTATACTTGTTTGATTTGTAATATAAAACAGCGTGTCAAAAAACATGACAAAATTTGTTTACAAAAAACATGAAGGACAGATGTTGTCAGAAAACAATTCAGATATAAAATTATGTCAAAATTTTGTCAATAAGAAATATATCTGACATTTTTTAATTATCAAAATTATGTGAAAATATGTTGATAGGTCAATTATACCAAAATATGTTGATAGGTGGTAGGCCTATGAAATATGAAATTTTTTTAAGAATAAATATTATATTTTAATAAGAATAAGCACATATTAACAAACTATGAAAATAGCATACCATTAAAAAAAATTTACATTTTATAAATAAATGTGCAAAACAAAAACTTCAAAACACAATTTATCAAAAATGACAAATAATTAACACTTCAAAAGTGGTATGGTAGTATTAATAAATAAATCTTGGACATATTTTATAAATGCAAAAAAATTAGTCACAGACAGATGACAGATAAAAATCCTGCATTAGTTGAAATTGAAATTACAGTATGGAAGCAGTTTTACTTAGGAACACTAGATATAAATCACAAGTTGGTATCCACAAAAACAAAGAGCCTATCAATATGATGCACATTTTTGGAAGATAAATGCGGAAAGAATATGTTAAAAAGATAAAAAAATGTTAAAGAAAGTGGATCAAATTAAAAGTTTTTCTGTTGTGAAAAATTACTACTGCAGAAAACTAACAAATAAGGAACATATAAGGAACTAAATGTGAGACTTAAAGTCTATGAAGCAAAGTCAAAGCAAGAATAATGTGCTGTTTGAAATGAAATAGAATCATTGAAAGAAATAATGACATTGCTTCAGCTGTAATAAAAAATTTTTTTAATGTTGTAAAGGAGAACTCTACAATAACTAGTGTTATCACAGTTATACTTCACAAAAAAGAAACATTATACATTTTTCTATAATGAACAACATGAATTTAGAATTCATGTTTATTACAAAAGCCCTACAGATATATGAAATTTTTTCCCTAGTCACATATGAAAGTAAGACAACAAAAACTTTACAAAGTCATTTTAAATGAGAAAACACCATTTTTTAATTTTTAAGACTGCTTACAATCTTTCAGTTTTTTAAAGCTACATTTATAAAAGTGTCAGTATGAAGTATTCTATACTGATACTTTTATAAACGTCTCATTTTGGAAAAGGTTCTTCAAGTGATACCCTTTTTCTATTAGATAAGGTCCAAAAACCCATCCTAAATGTTATTGGAACTACTTTTGTTGCAAAGTTAAGCTTCTGGTTCTTTTTGAAAATTTTTCTTTTTACTACAAATATTACCATGATCACTGCTTAAGCAAGTTAATATCTTTTGTTTAACTAACCAAAACCCAATACTGTTTGACTCGTTATTCACTTAAGTCACATCTTTTTACTTAAATTGTTTTTAAGGGTATATTTATCTAGTTTTTTCATCAAACATCAATCCTTTAAAATTTAGTTTTTATGTTTTCTTGAGTTAGTATTACAATTAACTGTATTACAGAAGATACCATCAATTATTCAAAAAGACATGAACTTATACAATATTATTTTAAAAAAGCAAAATAGTTTTACCTAAAATTCCAATTGTAATCATCACTTGTTCGCTCAAGAAGATCTAACTCAGCCCCCGCTACACTTCCGATTGGACGATTCCAGCAATCTCTAATTCTTGTGTACAAATTTCTTGTGTAGAATGATTCAAAGTCTGAATAAAGAGGCACAAAGCCCTAAAAATAAATAACTATGCTTTTTTGTTAATTTAAAAAACTAAAAACTAACTATTCAATTAAATAACTTACAATTTTTTTTTTTTAATTACCTCCTCAAGGCCACTACAGATGAGGAGGCTACTTAATAGTGGTTATAACCCTCTCTTAACTCTATAACTCCGAAACATGAATTTTGATGAAGAAGGCCGCTGCGCAGAGAAACAAGCTGAGGGCAGTACTACTAGGAATGCGGTGGGGATGAAACTCAAAACCTCTTGCTTATAAAACAAGCGCTTTACCACTACACAACTACCACATTTATAATTTTATATAACAGTTAAAAAAATAAGTATTATAGGTTAGTGCTTATTTAGCATACCTAAAAATTATCAATCATTTGGATAGTTCTTTTAATAGTATATGATAACCCCTTAAACAGGGTGGGGAGACCCAAGTTTACATGCGAAATGAACCCTAAAAAAAGTTATCATAAGATTTTCTGTGTCAATCTGTCTAATTGACTTGATTTTAATTTAATTGCATAACTAAAACTTTGTTTAAATATTTTAAATTTATAAGCCTTATCTTGTAAATACTTGTAATTTTAATCAAAACAAACAAATGGTTTAATTTATTTAAAATTTAAAAAATCTTGAGTTAAACTAACTGCTAAACTTGTTTTTAAAACTTAAATGCTTCCTATTTTTTCAGCTGCAGGATGATAGATTGTTCATTCGATAGAAACATAAACAGCTTACAAGGTTGGAATGGAACAGTAATCGGATTGACATTAAATGCCATAAAGCATAGATAAACTCTTCTGATTTAAACTGTAAAAATTTTTAAAAATTTTCTTATTTAAATGCCTTGTATATCAAACTCAAAAACTTTTAATTTATAAAAAATCCTATAATATTATACTAATATATTATTCTTTTTGTTTTCTATTAACTATTTATAGTCATTATAGTATGAAGTTTTTACAGATTTGCTGCTTCACTACTACTTTTTTATTTAAACCTTAGTTTTTCTACTTTTAACAAACTATTATTTTTGATTGCTATGAGTACAATTGCTATGAGTAAGAAAACCAATGTCATACTTTTTATGTAAAAGTGCTGTAAAATCTAATTTTTAATTAGCTTTACACGCTCCCTAAAAAAAAAAAAGATAAAGATAACTTAATAATAATAATTATTAGTGACAATCTGACTTGCTAGTTCTCTCATATACATGTAATAGTTGTGAAGTAGAAAATAAACAAACAATTGTGCATGTGATTAAATGCAGTTATTTACATTATTTAAATCTTAATTGTAGTTATGTGTACATAACATAAGATAAAACATTTTTTGTTCATTATATTGAACAACTGTAAACAAACTATTATTAAATAAATGTTAAACTAATTTTTACACATGTTAATGTTATATTTTATTTCATCTCAATTTTATAAATTTCTGGAAAATTAATATATATATTTCTTCACATTTAACTATTTTTGATGGCTAATTAAATGAAACCAAAAAATTTAATTAAAATGAAAAACCGATTTTCAGAACCCAAATTATTCTTAAATTTTAAACTTATATTAGATACCTTACGCCCTTTTTCTTTAGCAGCTTTTGTTTTTTCTAAATGATAAAGCCTTAAAAAATCTCGAAAATATCCAAATACAACTAAAACTCCATATCCAATATAAGTTATTATAGCAACAAGTAATGGAGTTTCTTCAATTAAATGTTGTTTTTGAGGAGCATCATTTGATTTATTAGCTTTATGTTCTGGTTTTAGCTTCATAACCTCGACAGCTTTAGGCTGGAGAAAGTCGTTTTTGTGAACTCCATTTTTTTGAAGCTCATTTTCAATTATAAATTCACTCCTTGAATCAAAAACAGAACTCTGAGCAACCATTTTTTCTTAATATTTAAGATAGTGTGGTATCACATTTGAAAACACTGACACTGAGTTAACCCTATCGGTTAGGGAAAATTTGTTACACAAAGGAGGTGGTTCCTAATACTTAACAAAAACATCGGATGTCTATTGAATTCTTAGAAACCAACCCTTTGCGAGTTTATTAAAGTTCTAATTAGACTAAAGAGTCTGGTGCAAAGAGCAAACGTTAAAACTAAAGTTGTAAAATTTAGCAACTTTTTTTTTTTAATCAAGTATTTAAGGTGCTCCAAAGAGTTCATACGGTCTTACGACAGAGTACCGCGGAAAAACATTTAACTAAAAAGTTCACGCCTCCTTCATTACTAATCTAGCTTATCTATCCAGAGCTTGCATCGAACTACAGACATTTTAGTTCGCTAAAGCTGGTTATTAATTTACATCCTTAAAAAGGTCTTTATTCAGTAATAGCACAGGTATTCCACAAGATTTTTTTGTCGACATATTTATTAATGATTAACGTGGTTGTATAGAGCTTAAAAAAGACTTTAAAAATGAGGGGTCTTTTAAGTTTAGAAGTTAAAGTAAGTTAAAGTACTATTTCTTCAAGATAAAATAAATAAATACTTGATTTGAATAGAGGAAACTATAAACTTAAGTATGCTTATGCCTAAGCCAAGTGAGGAAGTCTTGCAAAAATTTGGGACAACGGAGGCCTGGCAACAAAAAAGCCCTAAAACGCTTTGACCCCCTGCTTAAACGTGAAGGGACTGATATAGTAAAATTTTCAACTTTACTATCTTAAACTAAACTTAAATTTATCGACAGATTTTAAATTTCATAGAAAAATATTGTAAATCATAAAAGTTATGACCATACAAAATTTCCAACCCCCTCAAAATGAGGGTAGTGTAAATTTTGCATGGTCATAACTTTTGTAATTTACAATATTTTTCTATGAAATTTAAAATCTGTCGATAAATTTCAGGGGGGTGAAAATGTTTTTGGGCTTTTTATTCCCAGGCTTCTGCCGTCCCAAACTTTTGCAAGACTTTCTCATTTGGCATAGATATAAGCATACTTAAGTTTGGAGTTTGCACAATGTGTGGAAGTGTCCTATCTGAAACATCAAAAAATGCTGGGTACGTGCCTGGGAAACCTTACCTTCAAAAACTTGAAAAACGTTCCCGCAAAAAGTTTTTTTATCAATAGTGATTTTAGTACATGGATAATATACAAGTGAAGCCATTTAAATCTATCTATAAATAGTTGAGTTTAATTAATTGATTTAAAAAACTTCAATGTTCTAGCTTAGTTATAAAAAAAGACATAAAACAGTAAGGTTTATGTAACAGTAAGTTACGTGTTTTTTTAAGGTTTATGAAAGTTACGAGTTTTTTATCAAACGTTAAATGTTTTTCGTTGCGCTGTTGAGTCGCTAGAGTAGGATTCAATTTTTATAATTTAATCCTACGCTACATTCAATTAGGAATGTACCGAAGCTAAGATTTTGCCGAAGCCGAAACTTCGGCCGAAGTCACTCTGCCGAAGCCGAAGCTTCGGCCGGAGCTGAAGCTTTTGGTAAAATATAGGTAAAATTTGTTGTTTTGCAGATTTAGCAATCTAGGAATAATATTAATTGCTTAAAAATTATTTTAACATTTTACTCCAACTATTTTATGTACTCCCTATTGCAAAATATATGTACTGCAATTATAAGTATTTTAGCGCACAAGGTATTTTACTATAAAAAGTCAAAAAGGTTTTTTTTAATTACACAACGTTATAGGATTTTAGGATGTAGCTATGTCTTGTTTGAACAAGTTTAATGTTATAAGGAAAAAAGATTACTAACTAATTAATAATTACTAACTAGTAGTTGAATTAGGGTGTGAATCATAAAACTAATTTAGCTTCTTGTCAACTTAATCAAGTCTAAACTTTAAAACTATATTGTAAACAATGTTTTAGTTTACATTTTGTTTGTACTTTGAAGTATAATAAAATTACTATTTATAAAATTACTAATTACAAATAAAGAAAGTTATTTTTATCATACTTATTAGTTTATTGCGTTTAAATTAATTATCTATTGTTAGAAATCAGGCAAGTTATAATTTAAAAACGTAATCTGTTCTCCATGCTCAGGCAACAGACTGTTTCTTTTGGGTTAAAATATGTTTCCCGTTGTGTTGAACAGAGGTTCACTCTTAACGGAGGTGCGCAAAATATTTTCATTGAGAACCTTGCCATATCCCACTTATTAGTGTCTTTAAAGGAGCTGGTGCAATTGAAAACACCCCACCACTTATTCTTTATTCATCTGGACATTTTTTTTTTGGTAATGTTGATAGGCTATAATAGAAGTTGACTTCCTCCATGTTGAATCAAAGCTATGAATCAATTTAAAATTTAAACTTATATTTTAAATCTTTAATCAAGTAAGGAAAAAAGAATAATAAAAATAATATTCAACATATAAATAATAAAGTATAAACATTTATAGTTGATAAATAATTATGTTATGCATTGAAAATTTAAAATATTAAATGCAACCAGACCCATAACTACAGGAAGACACGGCCTGTATATAGCTTGTGTCTGCTTGCAGTTATCTTTCTATAATATAAATATAACATAATTTTGTCTACAGGCAATTCTGGTGTGCAGACAAACAGTAACAGGGCTGAATGCAATAAAATAATTAATTTGAAAGTTAACATCAATTTTTAATTAAACTTGTAAAAAATTAAAAAGTACCAATTTTATTTAGATATATTTTATTCGTATTTTCTTTTAAATTTTGAGTTTTTTCTCTAGAGTATTTACTATTATACTTTTTTCCCCCTCCATCAGCGTTTTCACCTTTCTGTGAAGCATTCTCATTTATACACATTTGGTTTAAAAAGCTGTACTTTGATTATTATTTTTTTTTTTTTACGTCTATATAAAGTTGTATATGCTCATGCATATTTTATTTGACCATCATGATCAGAGTCTTTAACAAAATCAACTTCTTTTGCTTGTTGTAAATGATTTTAATTTAATTTGATTTAAAAACTTTATTTTTTGTTGATGGTTACAACAGTTTTAACAAAAATAAAACAAATTAAAATCAACACATTTAACAATTATAGACAATACACACTCACATGAAAATCGTTAAAAAATTTACAAAATTATAATATAAATTACAAATAACATTAAAATATTCAAATTCAAATTCAAATTACAACCATTTCATTACAGAAAAATGAGTAAATATTGTATTATAATGTCAGGATAAATAAAAACAGAAATTAAAAACGACAGATTTTACAATAACAATTTTTTGCATACCAATTTTTAATAAGTTTTTTGAACACCTCAGAACTTTTAGAGGACATGGTCTTGTTATCTAGAGTGTTCCATAACGAGATGGCTCTAAATATAGTACAACATTGATCCTTATATTTGGCAACGAAGTTTAAAAGGAAGGTTTTTTGTATTGAATAAATCTCTCATAAATTGTGGATTTAGACAATTAATTGATTTAAAAACTTCTATCATAAGAAAGCGCAAATTTCTTAAGTGGATACTCGGACTATTATCAAAACTTAACAATTCATCAAGACATAAGTCAAACCTTTTATGGACAATACAAAGAGCTTTTTTATGAATTTTATTTATAAGGTTGTCATAGTATTTAGAACAAAAAATCCATATTAGGGGACAATAAGAAAAATTTGACAATATGAAGGCGTTAAACAACAATGTAGCTTTATTACGGGTTAAAAAACTTCTTCAAAACAATTCAGTATCTTTAATAAAGAAAAATATATCATTTATAGAGATATTGAAGAGGATGGGGCCAAGAATGGAACCTTGAGGCACTCCCGATAAAATATCAACCCAATTAGAAACAGATAGTCCTATCTTTACCTTTTGTTTACGACCACTAATATACGATATAAGAAATTTAAGACTTTCTTTAGAGAAACCATACGCCTCTAATTTAGCAATAAGTAGGTCATGCGGAATGAAATCATACGCTTTAGATAAATCCATTAATAATGTTCCAACAATACCTCCATTGTTAATGCGTTCATGCCACTTATTAAGTAAAAAAATAAGTGTATGCTGAGTACTATAACCTCTACGAAAACCACACAAAAGTTTGTCATAAATAACAAAATCTGTTCATAAACGATCATTTCAAAAACTTTGGAGAGCGTAGGTAGAATACTTATAGGGCGATATCTTTTAGCCTTATCTGTTGGGTCATTTTTTTTAAAATACGGTAAAACATCCGCCATTTTTAGAAATGACGGAAATGTTCCATCTAAGATGCTATTATTGATACAATCTGTAAGACTATCCCTAAAGTATATTAAGTAAGATTTTAACATAAAAGTTGGTATTTCACCACTTGTTTTTTTTTTCATTCATAGATCCTATATTTTTTGTAATATCATCAGGTGTAATACAATGGAACTTGAAATTATGCGCATTCATTTTGAATTTATTTTTAATGTTTCTTATACTAGGATGGTCAATATACTTTTTAATAGCTGACTCAACTGGGTCTGAAGTGCAAGGAGAAAAAGACCATTTAATATGGTCGGCTCATTTAATATGCACCATTTAATATGCTCGTTGTAAATGATCATTTACAACGAGCAAGCAAATTTTATATTTTAAATTATATATAAGGGTACTACCGCTATCATTTAGAGTATCGATTCTCTAAATAAAGCGATAGTAGCCTTGATATAAAATTTCTTTAAGCATACTATGGTCTGTTTCTTTAAATAATTTCATTTGAAACGGGGTTTGAGCATCATTGATTTTTTCAGACAAACATTATCTTTGTATTAATGAAAATGATTTTAAAAATCTTTTAAGTTCATCACCAATTTTGATTCCAGTTGATTTGTCTCAAGCATAGTCAAGAAACGGTATGATCTATGATGTGTCTGCACTCTGACCTTTCGTCGCGCTTTTAAAGTGTATTAGTATGCAAACAATTTTTTCAGCATGCTGCTATTGATTTTCTGTAGGTTATCTGCTTCTTTAATTATAAAACCATCACTTATTCATGTTTTTGAGTGGTGATAAGAAATAAATTTTCTAGCGTACGTTTCAAG